AGAGAGAGAGAGAGAAGCGAATGCAGAGAGAGAGAGAGAGAGAGAGGGGAATGCAGAGAGAGAGAGAAGGGAATGCAGAGAGAGAGAGAAGGGAATGCAGAGAGAGAGAGGGAGGCAGGGAGTGGGGGACAGAGCGAGAGAGCGGGATGCAGAGAGCGAGAGAGACACAGACACACACAAAGGGACAGTGATTAACTCACCTATCCTGCTCATTATGAAGGGGTTGCGACTCGGACAAAGCTAAGGACCGGTGTATAATAAACAGCATTTGCCTTCAGTGACTTATACTCCAAACTGATCTCAGCAAGTTTCATACAAGAGTGGGGCATAAATGGGTGGCATTTCAGCCTGCCTTTAGCTGCTCTTCCAGCCTAACGTGTAGATGTGTCTTTGAAGGAGGGCCTTCTGTGCATCTCTCCGTTACCCATGTGCACACAGACCGTCTCTCACTCTCACACCCTCACTGCAGGTCTCTCTGTCTCTTGCCCCCTCTCCCCCTCGTGCTGCTGAAGCTAGGCTATCCCATTCTACCACCCTGATGGCAGTCATCAGAGCAATCAGTGTTTGTGGGGTGAGAACAGCAGCTGCCGAGAAGCAGGTTCTGGCAAACCTGTCTCTTCCCCGTTTCTGTAATTTGAACAATGAGTTAGCAAGCCATGTAAAGATGAATGGCAGGCTGAACCTTCAGCCACTGGCCATGTGTTTCTCAAGTCTTCAAGGGATGAGCTCGCCCGTGGCTACAGTCCCTCTCAAAACCTACAAATCGAGCTACAACATCTAATGCCAACACATCAGAAAGAGCAAAAGCTGAGGAAATTCATGAAGCCAAGTTCAATGCAATTTACTTTAACATTTGGCAATTCATTTGTAAATGTTATTGTCATATTCCTCCATTTGTGGCCTTTATATCTATATCTTTAGATCAATTATTCTGACCGACAGGCAACTATAAACTAATTCTACCTGCTGCAAAGTCAGAGTTGACCTACAACATGGTCTGTCTGGACACACTAATTGACAGTTACCCCGTTACATCAATTCCCACTGCTAGCAGCAGAGACGCACTACAAAACAAAAGTCTCAAATTATAAATACCTCTGAATATCTGCTTGTGGCAAACTGTTATAAACTGTCATCATGTCCATAGCATTTGCATAATCCCAGCCATTCAAAAGAAACCGATCTTTCTGTAAAGCAAGAAGCCCAAACCATTTTAAATTAGAAACAACCTCAGACTGTACTTAAAGTTGTTTAATATTTCAGAACCATTGCAATCAATTCGAAATTCAATAAAATGAAAGAAGGCAAACATTTATTTCCATTAGAATCTCAAACTCTCTCAATGTGCTTAATTAAAAGAGTGCAGTGACCAGCGATATAAACAAACGGCATTTATGTTCAGTACCAGAAACATTATTCAAACAAAAACAAGTGACCGATCAATTTGAGCTTAGTGGTGCTGGTTGAAGGAGGAATTTGGTCCAGGCGAGAGAGGGAGCATTCTTTTTCTTCTTGTAACTTTACCGTTAATCTGCACTGGCAAATCAAACTATGCTTTCACATCTGATCCTAAAGATGGCATTGCTGAAAATGCTGCTTTCAGTGGAATGTCAGCCTACATTATACCTTCAAGTCTTCACAACCTTTTGACCTACAGGATGGCAGTATTTCCAGTGTTTGGGCTATATATAGATGTCACCTTAAGACCCTTGAGAAATACTACCAACACTGTTCGAGATAGATTCTTCACATCAGCTGGGAGGACATGCACACTAACACCAGTGTCCATGAAGCAGCTAACAGCACCAACGTCAAAGACACGATCATTCAACACCAGAGATCCAGCCCTGCACCTTGTTGTCTCTATCATTCAACACCAACTCTGTTTGGCTGGACACATTCCGACTAGCAAAGCAAATCTTCTTCGCCCAGCTCAAGGAAGGCACTCGAGCGAGAGAAGGACAAAGGAAAGGTTTCAAAGACACCCTCGAGGCCTCCCTCAATGTCAATGCATGGGAGACCCTCATTCAGAAAGAAACCAGTTTGGAGAAAATGTGAAAGTTCACAATTCTTTGAGAACACCCTTCAGCAAGACGGTATAAAGAAAAAGAAATGGAGAAAGGAATGCCAATGATCTCAAGGCCAAGGATCACATCCATCTCCTGGAAACACCTGCCAAATGTGTGGCTGGAGATGGGGCTCTGGTTGCGAAGTTGGGCAGAGTATTTGTGGATTAGGAGGCAGGATGTTAAAATTTGGTGCGTGTAAAGTGCTACATGGGTGGGGGGGGGGGGGGGGGGGGGGAAGCATTGCATGGTCCCTTCAAAAAATTCTGCTTTTTCTATCCTTGGAGATGTCTGTGAGCAGATGTCTGCAAGCACAGAGAGCACACAAATTAAAACATTTGTATCAAAAGATCAATCAGTTAGCAGGCCAAGCAGCAGTTTTGATTTGTGACCAAGACAAGTTTTGAATTTAGCCAGTTTGAACCAGGCACTTAGAGACCAAAAAAAACTAATTAAATTTAAATCTGATGGTTTTGACAACATAGGACTAATCTTATTGTAAGAAATTGATATGTCATCAAGGGTATAAAAGAAGGGGCAGTTGGGCACAGACAGCAGAACTGCCATCTGCCAGAGTTAACAGTCTCAGCTTTCAAGAGAGAATTGCCGGCTCTCACAGCCTTCTCTAAATTTTAGAGAAAGTATCATCTAAATCAAAGGTTCCTAGCGCACAACTGGTTAACATTCCCGACAGAAGAATCGACGGAGAAGGCACAGAACATTCCGGAAGACACGTAACCTGGCTGTAATTTTGAGACTAAATTCTACTTTTATTAAATTTTATATCAGTTGGACTTGTATTTATTGGAACAGCATACCATTAGAATCTTGGTTTATTTGGAAATAGTTAGTAGTTACAAGGGGTTTATTTAGTTTGTTAATAGTTTAGTTAATTTGTTTTACTGTTAGAGTTAGATAAATAAATTATTACTTGTTGATTGTAAAGTGAGTATCATGGATTTATTTGATTTAACCACTAGAAGTTGCTGAAAGGCAGGTTACACCACTTTTCACACTCCATTTATACACATTACAGGGCAAGGTGCTCCTCTTTGAATGTTTCGATTTTATTTCTCAGAGGCGGAGGGATCAACCTCTGCTTTATAATAGCTCTAGGATCGGGCTCACATTGGCCATGCAAGGACCCAAAGGACACACAACCAGTGACATGGAATTTCCTAGGGGCAATCATACTTGTTAGCGATTGATTACCAATGTTTTCAATGTGCATTTTATGAGGCTTCAATGAATTGTTTAATGAGCTCATTCAATAGCATTTGACAAATAGAAGGAAGACAGGAAATCTAAAGAAAAATATTGTGACAGACTAATCGGTAAAAGCACAGCTCAGCATCAACAAAACCGGTGAGTGAGAGCCTGAGGGAAAACAGTGCCAGAGGACAAGAGGAATTAGGGACAGACAAACAATCCTAATGGCAAACAGGGTAACAGAGCAACAATCATTCAGAAGCCAGCCCTAAAAAGAAGGATTCACAGAATCCAAAAGTAAAGGAGCACAGACTTGAGAGAATTTAGAGAGGTTTGTGAGTTACAAGTAGAAAGTTGCTAATAATAGGCCTAAATTACAAAGCCTAGAGTTAAGGGAGAATGACTTATAGATTAAAAAAAAACTTCAAATGATGTAAGCAAAGGGAAGGAGCTAATTTGTGAGCAGCTGATGAGTTTTGTTTTAAATCTCTGTCAGGAACAAGCTTCAGTTTTATTCTGTGTATGTTAAGTTAGTAGTCTAATTTAAAAACACAAGCTTGGCAGGGGATCTCTGTCCTGTGTCTCATGGGACTTCTGCTCGTGTGCTGGACAGGTGGAGGTGCAGAATGTGCCATCAGCTGAAGTTCAAGGCTCCTGAGCAGCAGCTGCCATCATTACAGTACATTTACAAAACTGAAGCTACATGGGTTGCACGCTTCAGGAGCTGGCCACCCGACACCTTAAGGACATGTAAAAAGAAAGGGCATGGGCCATCAGACAGCCAAGGAGGACAAGCCATGGAATGCAGGACTCCCTGCAACCCGCTCTCTAGCTGCTATTCAATTCTGTTGTCAGTGTGGATGATGGTAAGGTTCTAGTAGGTTAGGATTCAGTAAGATTGGGAGGTGGTGGTCGGATAAACAGTGCCGGGGATTCATTAGTCACACAAGGAGGGCTTTTCCACACCATGGATGATTCCAGGATAGTTTGTTGTTTTTCCGGTGCCAGGGTTAATTTGCAACTCAACAGAAATCACTGACCGAGGGATACTCAGAGACCGAGAGAGGGAGAGGGAGAGGGGGAGAGGGAGAGAGAGAGAGAGAGAGAGAGACACAGAGACAAATAGATACGCAGATAGTCAAAAAACACACAGGTATAATGTGTTTCCTAGACTTCAAAAAAAATGTAAGCACAATGTCGAAGGTTGTAATCACTGGGTTATCGCCTGGTCCCAAGTCCTAGTTAATGAATACAAGGACATTGGGCAGATAAAACCATTGCTAGAGAGAAGTTGCAGGAGAAAAGGGCTTTAGATTTCTGGGACATGGGGATCAATCCTGTGGGAGTTGGGACCTGCACAAGTCAGGGCTGTTTCCACCTCAACTTTCCTTGGCCCAACACACCCTCCAAGCTGCAGAGTCGCTGGGACACCACATACTTCAGTGTGTAAACGAAAGGCTGCTGCTTGTGGAAGCCACTGGCACGTACGGACCTCGGAAATCACATAGCGACTATCAAAAAGTCATGGCATCATTGCCTAGGATCATACTAGTACTGCTGGGGAAAGGTTTAAACTAACTTGTTGGGGGATGAGAACCTGAGCACAGATTCAGAAAGGCGAGAAGCAAATTTGAAAACAGAAGGTAGAAAATTAGAAACCAAGTGTAGAAATCAGATAAAAAAAGCCTATAAAAACACAAAGATGTTGTTCAGTGATTAGAATATTACTCAATACGAGGACTCAAGTGGATAAGGCAGATGAGTTCAGGATTCGACTAACACCTGGGATATTGCCATTACTGGAATATGCCCCCTAGTTCTGGGCACACCCTTCAAGAGGGAACATCCTTTTCCACATTTACATTGTCAAGACTGCTTAGGATTTTATCGAGTTCAATCAAGTCACCCCGACCCTGCTGAACTCCAGTGGAAGCAAATCCAGTCTTTCCACTTTTCCCTCATAATACAATCTGTTCACTCCAGGAATCAGCCTGGTAAACCTCCTCTGAAAAACATTCATGCATTTCCAACCTCCCTTGATTAAGGAAACCAAAACTACACAGTAATCAAGGTGTGATCTCACCAAAGTCCTATATAACTGAAACATGTTTAAGGGACCACATTTTTTGTGAGGACTAAAAAACTGAAATGGAAGTTGGACTGCTGTGACAGCTATACCAGGAAAGCTTTTTGGCAACTTGGAAATCGAGTGTTGCATATAGTTGAGCTGTGGGATACAATGTTGCTCTTTGGTAACAGAAAGAGGGAAAATACAAGACTAAATGCCATCAAGAATCTTTTGAGTTAAAGACATTCTTTCCAGCAACAGCCTTCTGATTGGTTGAGCTATGAAGTGTTTAAGAAGCTACAATTGCCAGGAGCAGAGTGTGAAAACCAGAATCTGCAGACAGACTGCATTGTTTCCGCTCCCCGTTTTTTTTTGGGGGGGGGGGGAGTAAAATTCTGGGGGTAACAAAAATTCAAGAAAACCTCAGAAATAATTCAGACAAGAACCAAGTTCACCTGATGAACCATCGATTCAAGGGATGACTATCATGACACAAAACATCTCATCGCATTAAAACTGAAAGAAAAAGAAAAGAACTTTCTACCTTGTGGTCTGGATTTTTGACCCCCAGAATTTTATTTACAGTGTACATGTGTTTCCCAAACATAGTACATGTGTCAAAATATTTGTCTTTTGTAAGTGTGTATAGTTTGAGTTGCATGACATCCTTTATGGTCACTAGTGTATGTGTCACAACAAAAAAATATTCTTTTCTGTCATTGAAGAAAACTGGTGTGAATTATTTTTGTTCCAAGTAGCAATTGGTCGAGGCAAACGAGTCATTGCGGTGGTCTCATTGATATTTTTATACATTAAACATCTTGTGATGATTTGTAGAAGAGTGGGGCATGATTATTGACACATTGTTCCAAGTTAAGTCCAAGTGATGCATGACATCCTTACTCTTGCACTCAATTTCTCTCCCAGTTTGGGATACTATCCCATTAGCCGCCTAAATCATTTGCTGCATCCTAACTTTGTATGGCCCATGCACCAAAACACCTAGGTATAAGACAAAATCCTGAGCGGCAATGCTAATGTCATTGAGAAAGAAATGGATTAATAATGGGCAGCATGGATTTGTTAAGGGAAGATAAAGTTTGACTGACTTCTGAGGAGGTAACGAGGAAGACTGGGTAAGGAACAAGGAGATTACTGCCACGTTGTTTTAGCAAAAATTATTGACAAGGTTCTACTTGGGAGATTAGTCAGTGAAGTCGAGCTTCATGGAATCCAAGAGAAAGTGACATATTGTATCTAAAATTGGCTTGGGGTAGGAGAATTTAGAAATAAGGACTGAACTGTGAATGTTAATGGGCTACTGTTGCTAAGCAACAAATTACAGCTGTAATTGCAAAGTAGTGGAAGCTGAGATTAAAAAAAAAATCACAAATGCCGAGGAACAAAGGAATGGTGGCACTGGCAGTAATGGAATGTGAATCTGTACAGACAGCAAGACAGACACCGAAGAGGTGACATGGTAGATTAGGATCGAGTACAGCAGCATCAATATCAATAAGTAGAACAGAGGGAAGCAAGTCGTGGAAATAGGATTTAAACCCTGGCTGAAAGTTGGTCAGGATGAGAACCTAGGACCACCACTTGTGAGAAGGACAACCCCAAGTCACTGATTTGCAGAAGGATGACCCTGCATTGCAGCAGCTCACCAAGGCTTCTTCAACAGAACCTTCTAAAATCTTTAACCACTACCAAGTGGACTGTAGTGATTCAAGAAGGCAGCTCACCACCACTTTCTCAAGTGCAACTAGGGACAGGCAATAAATGCTGGCCCAGCCAACAATGCCCACAACCCACAAATGAATTTAAAAACCCACCTAGAAAGTGGAAAACAACCAATGCATGGCAAACCACCAACTGCAATGTTTTCTCCAAAAACAGTACTATTCAGACTTAGAAGCATAATGGCCAGTCTCTCTTTGGTGCTGGGTCAAATCCTGGATCACCCTTCCTAACAGCACTGTGGGGGTACCTATAGCACACGGACACCAGCATTTCAAGGCAGTGCTCAAAACCACCTTCTCAAGGACAATTCGAGCTGGCATATAGATACTGGCCTAGGAAGAAACATTTGCAGCACAATGAAAGAATAAAAAACAAATTCATTTGAGGAGGGAAAACAAGACAAGGAAACATACAGCAATCCAAATTAAGTGGTATTACACAGACTTGCAAAGGAGCAGATGGACCAAGTGCTATGTCCACAAGTTCCTGAATGTAGCAGGACAGGTAGGTGGGATCATTGAGGTAGTATACAAGACACTTCCTAGGCTGAAACATAATAAAGAGCAATCAGGTTAAGCTAGAACTATAAGACACTAGTTAGAATGCAGCTACAGGATGTATCCCAATGTTACAGGAAAAGGTGTATTAGGGAGGAGTACAGAGATTAAACGAGGATACTGCCAACACTAGAAAACCTGAGCTATGACAACGGATAGTGGGATAACGGTGGAGCTGTTTGCTTTGGAACACAAAGTTGAGGGGAAATGTAGTTGATGTATGCAAAACTGAGAGAGACTTAGATAAAGTGACGAGGAAAGACGTACTTGCCGGAGCAGTGCAGTTAATGACCCAGGGATGTAGATGTAAACTAATTGGTTGAAGAACTGGAGGGAAGGTGAGGAGGCATCGGTGGAGATACGTAACCCATGTCTGTAAAGTTAGTACAGCCAGAAACCCTCACTGCATTTAAAAGGTAATTGAATATGTGCTGTAACCTACAAACCTACCAACAGCAGGCAATGTGGGATTAAACTTGATTGCTCTTTCTCAGCTGCCCCAGGCACAATGGCTGAAAATCTTTCTTGCATGCAAAATTCAATAATTCATGCCTTTACCGAGACAAGGATTGAAAAAGGAACTAATGCAATTGTGCTAAAAGTATACATTACCTGTGTTTCCAGAGTTTGACAGCTATCTACTCCAGCAAGGTTACACTGCCGACGCTGCAGGTTTTCAATCATCACTCGGCCAAAACGATCTGTCATGTTCACCTAAAACATACAAAACCATTATAATTTCCCCATAAGCTTGACAGGTTGAAAAATCTGACTGTACAATGGTGGCGCTATGTGGAAAATGCAGTGATGCCCTGGGAGAAAATCCAAATTATCTGTTGAAAGCAAAATTCTACACTCCGAAAAGTTGGTAGCATTTCTTATGGAGAAATGATTCAAGATGTTACATAATGTAGTTTCAACAGTGACTGTTGCTTTCTAGGCAAGTTGTGGCTGTTTAGGACATTGGGTAGGCTACTTTTGGAATACTGCTGCAATTTTGCTCTCCCTGCTACAGGAAGGATGTTGTGAAACTTGAAAGGGTTAGAAAAGATCCACAAGCACGTTGCCAGGCTTGGGTGGTTTGGGTTATATGGGAGAGGCTGAATAGGCTGGGGCTATTTTCCCTGGAGTGTTGGAGGCTGAGGGGGGACCTTCTAGAGGTTGATAAACATGGATAAGGAGAACCACCAATTCAACTGGGACAAAACCAAAATCCGGGGACAAGCTAAGCAGAGACAGGCACGGGAATTCCTAGAAGCCTGATACTCCACGAAGAAAGCCATCAATAAACACAGAACTCGACCCCATATACACTCCACTACGAAGGAAAACCGGAAGTGAGGCAATCCAGCTCAATGGACTCTAGTTTAAAAACCAGGCAGGAAAACACACCGACGCTTCATCGGAGGCTGCACTGATGATGTTACCCAGCAGGGTAATGAAACGTCTGCTGAACAACAAACCAGCTCTGCGAGCCAACGAACCTCAACACCCTCGAACTGAGCTACAAATCTACTCCAAAACCTTAAAAGGTTTATAAAACCATAAGGGGCATAGATAGGGTAAGTAGACAAGGTCTTTTCCCTCTGAGGGGGGGGGGGGGGGGGGGGGGTCAAAACCAGAGGGCATAGTTTAAGGTGAGAGGAGAAAGATCTAAAAGGGACCGAAGTGGCAACTTTTTCATGCAGGTAATGTGTGCATGGAGTGAGCTGCCAGAGGAAATTGTGGAGGCTGGTACAATTACAACATTTAAAAGGCATCTGGAAGGGTATATGAATAGGAAGGGTTTAAGAGGGAAATGGACCAAATGCTGGCAAATGGGACTTAATTTATTTAGGACATCTGGTCAGCATGGATGAGTTGGACTGAAGGATCTGTTTCTGCATTGTACATCTCTATGACTCTAAATACAGCTAGCTCCTGTGCCTACAGTTTCCCAAAACAGCCAACAGATAGATAAGTCAACATTACATCAGATTATATTGATTAAAGGATCTCAAGATAATTTTTGCTCTTGATAAAGATGGTTAATGGTGCACCATCTAATTCCATATGCTTTCAATTATCTCAATGCCTCTGCTATGAATGATACTAAATGCCTTCAAATAAAAAAGCTAACAGCAAAGTTTTATAATTTTAATATCCCAACCAGCTAATAAAAGCATTATTTTGCTATCCTAATTTTAGTTTTATGGCATATTCGTAATCGCTTTACCAACTGAAGTCAAGAATAAGGTAAAATTATCCAAAGTCAGAAAAATACATGTCCCCATTGCAAGTATGTCTAAGCAAGCCATTACCCCTGAAAACTGAAATGAGTGTTACCTGCTCATAATTGACAAACATAGCTGTATGAAAAGTAGTTGAAGCCCACTTGATTAATTCTGTAGATTTTTCAGGTGTGATATAAACAAGGACACATTCTGCCAGTAGCAGCGTTGGTAATCTATAAGAAAAATAATACTCTTACATTACTTCTGTAATAACCAATGGGAATCCTCCATTGTAGCAAATCAGATGTTTGACGTTTATAAACTTTATTGTAATATCTATAGGCGCTGCATCATTAGTTCTGACACTACCTCAGTTATAAATCACAACAATGAAAGGCCACCAGAAGCATGGATTCAGGTAGGATGAGGAATTGGAGAAAAAGATGTGAAAAAGAGGAAAATGGTAACCTGAAACAATTATGGAAAAGGTGAGGCTAAAATCAAAGAGGCATCAATGAACTGAATCTTGTTCAATAGCATGTGGTTTTTCAAAATTCAACATTATTATTCTTATTACTGAACCAGAAACACTGCATCATACAAAGCATCACCTGAATTCAATATTTGCAGTTATGACAGAAACAAATCTGAAACAGGCTCATATGGTGCACTGGTAGTGTCCCTTCCTCTGAACTAGAGAATCCTTGGTTCAAGTTCTAGCTGCTCCAGATGTGTATCATAGCATCTCTGAACTGGTTGATTAGAAAATTTCCAGAAACAAAACAGCAATAGTGCTGAAGAGAAAGTGTTAGTTACCTCGCCCTATCAGCGGTAATCTTAATTTGACTAACAGGGTTACATTAAAAGGAGAATATTCAACACTTATACAAAAAAATTAAAATAATGTTGACACTATAACTGAAATCATGAAGGATGTACCTTCAGCATTTTTTTTAAAGCCATGAAGAGTTTTACTGGAGTGAACATTACAAGGTGTGATTGAAGTGAAATACTTAGCATCCTGGATAAGGAATTAAGGAAAGTTGCAATATTCAACAAAACATATTTTGTTTTAAAGTTTGCACCTAATTGCTGGAAAGTGGTTGAGGGGTAAAATGACACACTGCAACCATTTTAAATTTCAGGATTATAATTTATTAAAACAAATCAAACTTCTTCCACCACTCATCTGCTGAACTTGCCTGATTAAACACGATGGACAATCACACAAACAAAACTGAAGGTCTCCAGCAGAATTTTATCGTCCTTGAAACCAACATCATCATAAGAAACCCATTGGAGCAAAAAAAGGGAAGCAATTAGACTAAAAGCTTCCGGGCACAAAAAGTGTGCAAGTTTGAAAATTGATTCTAATTTTGTCAGTCCCTCTAAAGATTTGCTAAAAGGAAAAATATTTCCAGGCATCTCACGGTTGACATCAAATAAATAATTATGTAATGAAAGCATGGGCTCAGAAGTGAAAATAATTATTAAGACAAATTTGATTAAGTTCTTTGATGAAGTAATGGATAGGGTTTGGAAGGTATTGTTGTCGGTGTTGAGTAAATGGACTTTCAAAAAGGTAAAGATAAAGTTCCTGGAATTAAAGGGATAGTGGGAACATGAAATTTCCCAGAATTATTTCCAAAAATTGGTCGATGTTTTCATTTGCCTATTTCCACAATTCCTAAGAAATTATATGGTTCTTGGGCATGTTAGAGAGTTTATACATTACAAATGATTTGCAAATAGGCTGGATGGGCAAATTCTTTTTTTTGAAATTCCTTTTGCTTTAACATAGTTCAAAGCTTCTCTGTTTATCCCAAAAACATCAGTGAAACTTTATGTCCCTCCTGAATCTGATTCAGGTAATCAGAACTGGGTGCAATACTCCAGTTATGGTGAAAACAGAGGTTGCAAAGATTCAACATTTCCTCCCTGTTTTTGTACTCAATACATCTACTTCATAAAGCCCAAGAATCAAAATGCTATGTTAATTACTCTCTCGATATGTCCTGCCATCTTCAAAGATCTATACACACCTATGTCCCTGCAAAATCTTTAAAACTGTGCCATTAAGTCTACATTGCCTCACCCTATCTCTTCTGTCAAAATGTACCAGCATATTTTTAACTATTAAATTCCACCTACCACTTGTCTGACCCTTCTACTAGTCTATGTCCTATTACAGTCATTTGGTAACACATCTCCAAGTTTTGTTAATTGGAAAATTTTGAATTATTTGTAATTTTATTTGCTTCTTTTCTATGTAATTTTTTGTGAAAAAAATGGAAGTCTTAACGATGACCCTTGGGAATTGCCACTGTCCCAAATCCTTTAGTAAATGGTTGGCTCTCTGACTATGACTCATTGTTAGCCAGCCTTAAGCCATTTTTTCACTTAAGCTGTGCTGAGCCACTTAGAGAAATAGGTGTATGCTTTTCAGCCCATTAAGCCCCCTCTGCCACATAATACAGTTTATAGAATATCACTTCAATGTCTTTTACCCACACGCTCTCAAAAACCCTTTACGCCATCGATGGATATCTGCTACCAATCTCTAACTATACTCAAAGACTGAACTTCCGGAGTCCTTTACGCGAGACAATTTCGAAAATTCACAAGCCTATGAGTGAACAGGTTTCTCCTCAAATAGATACAAACTGGTATGTCCCTTACTTTTAAACTGCACCCCTGGTTGCAGACTTCACAACTTATCTGCATCTACTCTGTCTAAATCTTTCAATGTTTTCTAGGTTTCAATGAGATCGCTTCTAATTCTTTGAAATCCCGGAGCATTCAGGCCCAGTTTGCCAAACCTCCATTCATAGGGCTGTCCTGGCATTCAGAGAACGAAGACAGAAATCATTGTGGGAACAAATCTGGTGAATGTTTGTTGCACTCCCTCTATGGAATAATATCTTTCCTGAGGTAAGGAGACCAACACTGCAGCACTTGAGGATCAGCCTTATCAAGCTCGTATACAATTGAAGCTAAACCTCACTCAAATCTTCTTCTGAAAAAGACCGACATTTCATTAAAACCTTCCTAATAGCTTGCTGCAGCTGCATGTGAGCCTTCAGTGACTTATTGACCAGGATACCCAAGTCCCTTCATACTTCTACTCTAACTTCTTACCATTTAAGAAATACCCCACACATCTATACTACCTACTGAAGTAGATAATGTCTCATTTTCCCACATTATATTCCATCTTCCATGTTCTTGCCTATTCACTAAGCCTGTCCAAATCCTCCTGAACTCGCTCTAAATCCTCCTCATAACAATTCCCGCTTAGTTTTGCATCATCCACAATTTTGGAAATATTACATTTGGTCCCCATGACCAAAACATTGATTATAACTTGTGAGCAGCTGGGGCCCAAGTTCTTTAGGGAAATATTAGTCTATGTAATCATATTTGAGGAGCTGATCCTTAGTGTGCCACTCGTCACAGCCAGCTAACGCAAGAATGGCCTCTTTATTACTTTTTCCTTTTGCCGGTTAGCCAATCCTCAATCATTGCCAGTACATTACCTCCCAAACCATGTGCTTTAATTTTGAGAACCAACTTCCTGTAGGGAACCTTATCAAAAATCCAACGGCATTATTTCTATGGACTCGCCTTTATCAATGTTGTTAATATTCCACCAGACTCAATTGTATCAAATAGCCTTTGTCAAACATTTTCTCAAAATTCATATATATAACACTCACTGCATTCTCTTAGTTAGCCTTGTTGCTTCAGAAATTCGAGCAGAATAGGCAAACATTTTCTGCCTTTTAGTGCTTGCAAATCTTTCTCCAATTATCATTTTTTCAAATCTTACACACCATGTTAAATTGATTGGCCTGTAATTTCTTGAACAAGGGAGTCACATTTCCTCTTTGCAGTCATCTGGCACCCCTGCTAAGATAGCTTGGAAGCTTATGGCAATCCCTCCATTACCACCAACCCCTTTCCCTGGACAACCTGGGAGGCAATCTTCTGGACCTGGTGAACTATCCACCAAGCGTAGCCAGCATTTCTAGTATGATTTGATTATTGATTTCACGATTTCTACTTTCTCTACCATCTCCACTTACACCAATATTCAGGTCAACAATCTATACACTGCTATACAGCATTCATTAAGCATCCTAGCCATGCCTGCACCTCAAAGCATCTTACCTTTGTCCCTAATCAGCCCTACCGTGTCCCGTCCTCTCTGACTGTTTACATGCCAGCACAAGATTTGTGTTGTATCTTTTATGTTAACTGCCAGTATATTCTTATCTTCGAGTTCCTTGCCTTATTTTCTTCTTTCAACATCCCCTTTCAACTTTGATCTGAGTTCTCACTTGAAATTTTCATCTGTCACGCATCAAGCATCCTCTTTGCTTAATCATATCTGAGGTCTGGGAAAATCAATCCTAACATAACTTAGGTTTTAGTTTACTCCTTAATACCGGGTTTCAGTTCATGTCTCAGCCTGGTTTAGAACATCCATTTGCAAATAATAAAGTCACAGACTGTGACTGACGCATGCATTCAAATGCATTAAGTGCTCCACCTAGTGTTGTGACAAGTAAATACAGCCTATGAAAACAACTAGACATTTTCTATTCATTTAAAGGGGATGGAGAGCATTGGCATGGCTATTATTAAATGGTTATCATTAAATGGTTATCCTAGCTTTCCTTGGGGAAAAAGTGATGGTGAGCCACCATTTGGAATGAAATTAAGATCACAATGTTGTTAATATGAAGTTTCAAGGGATGAAGGAATAACGATAAACGCCCCCAAGCCTCAAAATGTGGGGGTGGTCCACTTCCAAAGCAGCTGCTGCCTTTTGTCCTTTTGTTTTAGATTTTTCTTCTAGACAGATTTTACTTCTAAAGGCCTTTTCACACAGTGCCAGGCAACAGACACCTGAGGAAAGTTGTGTCATGGAATAATATGGACAATAGCAGTGTGGATACAAATTTGGCTAAGGAATAAAAAGAGAGCAATGGTTAATGGGCAATATTCAGTCTGGAAGGAGATTTACAATGGAGTTCCCCAGGGTGTGGATGTTTGCTGATTATATATACATATATATATATAAATCTAGATTTTGGGATATGGGAGATAACTTCAAAGTCTGAGGACGACAAAGTAGAACCTCAAAAAGACATTGGTACATTGATGGAGTTGGCAGATGGAGAAAGTTCAATGTGGAAAGAAGTGTGAGGTCATGCACTTTGGTACGAAGAATATTGACAGTCAGTATAAAATAAATGGTACTACAGGTATTTCTGCCATAATGCGTGTTTTGTTAACATGGATTGGCTGTAATGCAACTGATGAGTAGTGGATGCTATTTGCATAATGCGAACTTTCTGCTGTATGGGTGTAGCGACTTCCTTATAACGAGATTTTCTATAGCGTGAGGTCACACAAGAACGCAACTATCCCGTTATAGGAGAAATTACAGTATTCTAAAAGTTGTAGAGGAACAGGCAGACCTGGGTATCTATGTACACAAGTCGGTACAAGTGGTAGGACGGGTAGAGAGAGTAGTCAATAAAACATTGCTAGGCTTCATAAATAGGGGGAACAGTACAAAAGCAAGAAAATTATGCTGAACCTATACAAGCTACTGGTTAGGTCTCTATTGAAATATTGTGTATAGCTCTGCACGCCACACTGCAGGATGTAAATGCATTGGACAGACTGCAGAAAAGTAGAATGGTTCTAGGGATGAGTCACTTCAGTTATGAGGATAGATTGGAGAGGTTGGACTGTTTTTCTTAGACAGGAGAAGGCTAAAAGGTCGTTGACAGTCGTTTTCAAAATCTTGCCGGGTCCAGGCAGATTCGAAAATGATTTTTATTTGTAAACAGATCGAGAATCAGTGGGCACTGTTTTTAAAAAGTGTTTTGCAAAAGCAAGGTGAGAAAACAAGACTTTTACAGCAAATAGTCAGGGTATGGAATGCACTGTCTGGAAGGATGGGGGAGGCAGATTCATAGAGTCAGAGTCATACAGCATGGAAATAGGCCTTTTGGTCTAACCAGTCCATGCCGACCACATTCCCAAAGCAAACTAGCCCCACCTGCCTGTGCTTGGCCAACATCCCTCCAAATCTTTCTGATTCATGTACTTTTCTAAATGTCTTTTAAACATTGTAACTGTACCTGCATCCACCACTTCCTCTGGAAGTTCATTCCACGCACGAACCAGCCCATGTCAAAAAAGTTGCCCCTCATGTCTTTTTTTAAAAATCTTTCTCCTTTCACCTTAAAAGTATATCCCCAGTCTTGAAATCCCTCACCCTAGGGAAAAGACACCTCCTATTCACTTTATCTATACCTCTTGTGATTTTATAAACTTCTGTAAGGTCACCTTTCAATCTCTTACGCTCCAGTGAAATAAGTCCCAGCCTATCCAGGCTCTCAATACAGCTCAAACCCTCCATTCCTGGGAATGTCCTGTCCGTGAGGCATTCAAGAGGGACTTGGATGATTGTTTAAATAGAAACAACATGGTTTGCAGGAAAAAGGCAAGACATTGAGCATTTCAACTTTGTGCCAGAGAGTTGGTGCAGGCACAATGGGTGGAATAGTCACCTCCCGCACCATTACACTTCTGAGACTATAAAGGTCAGTTTTGAGAAATGCTGTGCAGGATGATTATGGTTTGGGAAATAACAAGTACATGCATTCAAGTGGAAAGCAAGATAGGTTGGTATTTTTGCAGTGCACTTGGTTCAAGAATTGGATTTTTGACGAGAGGGATGTTGACAACTGTATTCAAAAGGAGGGAGATAGCTCCTGGACAGAAAATAATGCTGCAAAAGGCTAGAGAGAGGATGAGGTGCAATAATACAACACTTTTACAGTGACAGGTAATATCATTCACAACTTAAGTAGAGCTCATGCTGCAGAGGTTTCAAATGGAACTTAAAGACAATGTCAAAAAAATAAGCTTACTTGGTATCCAGTCCAAATTTCTTTAATCTTTCCGTTAACATGGGCAGGTCACGGAGATCTTGCCCAATAATGGCATAATGAACAGAGTCCATGTTGGAGCCATCTGACAAACGTGCAAAAAGTATTTAAGTGCAAACTGCATTGGTTAAGGAAAGCTAATTTTAAAATAAAACTAAAGTGCAAATTTTGAATTACACTGTTCTCAAACGAAAGGGTTGGGAGATGACTCTTTTTAAGTAACTTTAATCCTGAAAACTAGATGCTGAAAAGGTAGACTGGGTACAATCTTTGGGGACTTTCTGAAGCATTTATTACAGAGATACACATTATGGACATGCACTTTTTAACCCAAGAACTACAGTTGCTTTCTGTTGAATTTATACTTCTTTCAACATCACAAATGTTGTGAAATGCCCCACTTGCAAGAGAGATTTCTCACCCATTGTTACAGAAACTTAATAATTCAAATCTAAGTCTCATTTTCAGGGGCAACTATACACTTCAGCAACGACCATTCACCCCACACCTTTGGAGGACTTGCAATAATTCTCTCGAGACTCCCAGTACCAGACATGCACAAATAGTTAACCCACCTGGGCTAAAGAAAAAAAATTATGCCAACAGATCAAAGGAAAGAACAGCCCTATTCAGCATTATTTTATTCCATAAACTTCATTAAATGTAGGAGGAAATAAAGAACACAGTAAAATTTTTCTTTCTCACCTATCAGCAGGCTACTACTTGAATTTGTTTCTATAATTGGCTTTGACAATGGAGGCTTCGTTCTGTAGCAAAGAGCAAACAGTTACATATTGTTTCTTAGCAATCTTCTGATGCTACTCAACTGATTTAGAGTTAAGAGGAATTTCAATTGTAAATCACTCATACATAAACATTAGAACGGCCAATTTAATAAAATTTACACAATTCACAAATATCTTTGAACAAAGCTGAACAAATCCTTACTTAAAATATCAAAGCAGATACTCTAATCCTCTAGACAGGAAGAAGTTCAAATCCCATCATGCCAGCTGGGGCATTTCAATTCAATTAACAAATAAATCTGGAACTTTACAAGTAGTCTCAGATTTTATGGTTAAACGACCATTTCTTCATGAAAGAAATATTGCATACATTAACATAATTCAGGGACAAAAAAAGTTTGCTGTCCTTACCACGGCTGGCCTATGCTAAGGGGGTGGACTCAGATAATGATTCAGCAAGCTACTCAACTGCATCAAACTGCAACAGAAAAGTCAAATTGGAATAAGACTGTATAGACCACCCTTGTACCAACTTAGGTTTTCTGGAAATAACAGAAGTACACTCCACACAGTCAACCCGACAAATTCTTCGTCATTAACATCTTTGCCAAGACTGGAAAAACTGTGCTACAGACCAGTAAGCAGCAACTTGACAGTCACAATCACCAAACTACACCATCAGAAAAGATCGACAGGGCTATGGAAGAAATGGGGAGAAGTTGGACAGGCTGAGATGCTCACCAGAGCCAGTCAATTTGGGCTAAATGGCCTCCTTTAATAGTGTACCATTCTATGATTCTGCCTTAGAGTCAATATCCCCGGAATCCTCAATCACCACCTCACCAGCAGGACACAGCCAACAGAGGTGAAAGCACAATGGTCTACAATTAGGACAAAGTGGCCCTGGGTATTCATAGCATAGACTTTGGAGCCTGTGCAGTCTTATAGCAGGAGGTCAAACATGGGCAAGGAAACTACCTGTTGATTACCACCGACTACCCTTTCTCAGCTGACAAACTAATGCTTGTCCAAGCCAAGTACCACTTGCAAAGAAGGGCTGAGGGTTACAAGGGCACAGAATGTATTTTGGATAGAGGCTTCAATGTCAAGAGTGGCCCAGTGGCACCAGCTGGGGAAGTCCCAAAGGCCATTTTTACCAGATTGGGCCTTAGCCAGGTGGTGAGGGAAGGAAAAAAAGAAAGAGTTTGATCTTGTCCTTGCCAGTCCACCTGTCACAGCTGTATTTGTTCATAGTGATACCGGTAGGACTGATCACCTCGCAAAGCAATAGGAGACAAAGATTCATCTTCACAGACAGGAGCCCATCTATTGTGCTACATAGGTGAGATTAACAATATATCTAGTTGGTGGGTATCAAAACTTGACATTCATAAGGCTCTTTGGACCAGTAGCAACAGAATTAAATGCAACCACAATCTGTAACTATGGGTTACACTATTCTTCACACTACCCATTATCATTAAGTCAGGGACCAACCTAGTTCAATGAGTAGTATATGCTAAGAGAAGTACCAGGGAAACCTAACGAATACTACCCTGAAGAAGCTATCAGCAGCCTTGGTGTTACCACAGACCAGAAAATGAACTAGAATGGCCAGAGAATATTGAGGCTACAAATGCAGGGGTCAGATTTTGGAAAGCCTGTGGTAAGTAACTCTTAACTACAGCTACAAGGTAGAAATCAAGATTGTACTGATTACCTCAACTGCCTTGGCGAATGCAAACCTACACCTTTCAAGCAGCTCAGGATAAAGCAAACTGCTTGATCAGCAGGCCATCTCCATTTTAATCTTCAGTTCTGTTATGGACTATGCCAAACCCCATCAAAATATATTCAGAAGAGAGTCTAGTCCCTAACTTTTTCTTATTTTAAAAGGTAAATGCAAGGCATTGCATTCCAGATACAATGTGACAGGTCAAACTACTCGACTTTAGGTAAAACACACTATTTTCGCACTACAGTTAAAATACAGACAAAATTAAAAAAAGCTTGACTGTAACTCTATTGAAATGATTAACAAAATAATATATATTAACTACTACTAATTGACTGTTCCAATTTAGTAAAATCCCATAAACACACCCTAGGCAAAGGCAAATTCAGTAAAATAGATTGTCTCACATGCAATTCTAGCAGCAGGAAGAGAACCCCAGCTTTTAGATGTAACAGAGAGAGGAAGAAAAGCTTCCACATCCAGCTTCAAAAGCCCAGCAACTTCGGAAAGCTAAAACTAAAAATCCTAGCTCTGTGGGAGCTTGACCCCACCCATTCAGGTTGCTTCTATTGTGCTAACTTTAAAAAAACCCAAGGCCTCACAAGCTGTTATTTTATTGGCTTTGAGCAGATCACTTGCCACCTCTGTCTCAACCTTTCCTCTTTTAAAAAAAAACAAAATACATCTCAAAGCCATAGTATTGACTTCCTCCACTTCTGGTGCACAGCAGCAGTAGTGTGTACCAAGGTGCGCTGCAGCACCTGGCACTTTCAATAGCACTTTGCAAAACAGTGACCTCTATCTGCTGGGAGGACCAAGACAACAGAAGCATGGGACCACCACCACTTGCAAGTTCCACTCCAAGTCTTGCATAATATTGCCTCTTCTTCATTATCACTGGGTCGAAATATTGGAACTCTCTCCCTTAAAACACTATGGGTGCACCTCATTGGAAGATTGAAGAAAGTGCAAGTGAAAGTTGTCAAAGTCCCAAAGGACCATAGGCTGCTCTCTTTGCAGCCAGACAGCTGGTGGTGAGTTTAACCCGAGGGTCACCGGCTTCAGGCCAGGGGCAAGCTTGAGAATGCAGGGCCTTCATGGTGACCTCAGCTGGCACAGGAATGGAACCTGTGCAGTTGGTATCACTGCATTGTAAACCAACGCGGGATAACTGCAGACTCAAGAACAATTAAAGATGGCCGATAATTGCTGGCCAAGCTCACATCCCATGAACAAAAACAATTGAAATGTCTTGCCTCATCTACACTACACTGCAAACTCACCAAGATCGTTAAATTAATTTCCATTTAGTCAGTAACAATCTTTATTCCTATGACTTTGGTATAATAAAAAAAGTCATTCATTTCCAGTCAACCAATTATACTTCCTTTACCATTTTGTCAACACTTAGAACAAAACCTTTCTTATGGGAAATCTAGATATAAAAGTTTTTTTTTTAAGTGGAAGACACCAGCAGCATTCCAGAACTTCAAGAAAATCAGCGGGCAGAGGTGAGTGTACTGATCATCATTATGGAGAAGATACTGGAGAAGCTGAAAGGTCTGAAGGTGCAGAAATCACCTGAACTGGATAGACTACACCCCTGAGTTCTGATGGAGATTGCTGAGGAGATTGTACAGGTATTGATGGTCATCTTTTAGGGATCACTGGAGTCAGGAAGGGTTCCAGAGGACTGGAAAATGGCTAATGTAACACCCCTGTTTAAGAAAGGAGGGAGGCAGAAGACAGGAAACCATAGGGTGGTTAGCCTGACCTTGGTCATTTGTAAGATTTGAGAGTCCATTAATAAGGATGAGACTGTGGAATACTTGAAAGTGCATGGTAAAATAGGGCTGAGTCAGCACCACTTCAAGGGGAGGTCATGCCTAACAAGTCTGTTAGAATTCTTTGAAGAGGTAACAAGCAATTTAGGCAAAGGAGAGCCAGTGGACATGATCCATTTGAATTACCAGAGGCCTTTATCAACATGTTGCATAGGAGACTGCTAAATAGGAACCCATTGTGTTAGGCCAAGGTACTGACGTGGACAGAGGATTGGCTAACTGGCAGAAGGCAGAAAGCAGGGATAAAAAGGGTCTCTCTCAGGATGGCAGGGGTCAGCGCTGGGATGACAGCTACTCATGTTACACATTAACAATCTGGACAAAGGAACGGAGGGCATAGTTGCTCAGTTTGCAAATGGCAGAAAGATAGATGGAAGGACAGGTAGTGTTGACGAAGCAGGGAGTCTGCAGAAAGATTTGGACAGGCTAGGAGAGTGGGCAAAGAAGTGGCAGGTGGAATACAGTGTTGGAAAGTGGGATGGCATGCACTTTGATAGGAAGAACAGGAGTGTAAACCATTCTCTAAATGGGGAAAAGGTTTTAGAAATTTGAAGTATAAAGGGTCTTGGGAGTCCTAGGATTCTCTTAAGGTTAACATGCAGGTTCAGTTGGCAGTTAGGATGGCACATGCAATGTTAGCATTCATTTCGCGAGGGCTAGAATACAAAAGCAGAGATGTACTGCTGAAGCTGTACAAGGCTTTGGCCAGACTGGTTTTGGGCCTGTACCTAGGATGTGTAGGCATTGGAGGGGGTCCAGAGGAGGTTCACAAGAATGATCCTGACGATGAAGGGCCTGTCATATGACGAGTGGTTGAGGACTCTGGGTCTGTACTCAATAGAGTTTAGAAGGATGGCGGGGGGTGGTGCTTCTGATCGAAACTTATAGAAAATTGAGAGGCCTGGATACAGCGGATGTGGAGAAAATGCTTTCCCCAGTGGGAGAGACTAGTGCCCAAGGACTTAGCGTCAGAATGAAAGGGTGAACCTTTAGACCGGTGACGAGGAGGAATTTCCTCAGCCAAAGGGTGGTGAATCTGTAGAACTCGGTCTCCACAGCCCTCTGTGGCGCTAAGTCATTGAGTGTATTTAAGACAGCGGTAAATAGTTTCTTGGAATTTAAGGAAATCAAGGGTTATGGAGAAAAGGCAGGAGAGCGGGGTTGAGAAATATATCAGTTATGATCGAAGGGCAGAGCCGAATTGATGGGCTTAATGGCCTATTTCTGCTGCTATATCTTATGAATTTCTGTAACTATTTAATCATTCTATTTTGACAGCGAATTTATTAAATCACAGGCAACCCTTTATGAAAAGTGACTTATTTCCTTCTAGCCCAAAGTATGGTTTGACAGAACAAAAATACATGCTTATGTTCGAAAATAACTTGTAGATATTCGCTGAATTGTTTATGTTCTTTAAAAGTTGCATTAGTTTAGGATGAGACTGGATATTTTTGCAACAATAACAACAATCTGCTTACAGCTGAGAATGTATAACGTGAAGTTTTTTCTGAATAAATCAATAGAACCTTAGCTAGCCAAGTGATAATTCTTTAGAGGGGAATGGCATGATCGACTGTTTTAAATGCTGGAGATCAGTTCAGGAAGGTTAAAAAGGGCTGAGAGATGGCAATGTGTTATTGCAAAGGCCAAAGAGATTGAAGTGAGGTGATAATTAGACAGGATAAGGCCAGATCAGGACTGTGTTAGAAAGGTGGGGTAGCGACAGGGGCTTTGAAAGGAACTTTTCTGATATTGCCAGCGTATGAAACAATGGGCATTGAGTTGCTCATATATTTTCCCACTTTTGCTGTTAAATGAATTGGTGTGTTTATCTAATTGATATCTCACCTTTTTTTAATAAGAAAAATGAAAACACTATCTACACAGTATCAGAAAATAGTCTATACTTTGTTCATTTTTCTCAGACTATTCAATGGTAAAAACATCTGAATAATGTCTCAAATCATTATTTGATTTGTTTGTACTTCATCTCCAGGGACAATTAGAAATTCTACTGCTCAAAAAGTAATGCCCATTTCCTAAAGAAACTGTATTAGTTAATAGTAGTTCAACTGTACAGAAATAAATTAACTGTTAATGAAGTGCGGAGCTGGAGGAACGCAACAGGGACCCTTCTTCAGAATTTTCTCCATGTCCAAAAAGGAGTTGTAATTACATAGGCAGTCATGATAGATATGCAGTCCAAATATTCACATTTTATTAGCCGGTTTCAAAAAGTGCGTGACAGTGCCCAACTGTTCAGCACTGGAACCATCTAGATGCTCTCTAACCAGTGCACTTGTGCTTTGATAATTTAAAAATTTCGCTTTATTATACTTGCATGCATGAACAGCTATTGCTGTATTCAAGTGCAGTAAGCACTTACCCCAGATGCAAAAGTCTACAACGTTATTCAATACACAACAGTACAATGGATGCCGGAAATCAAAGAACACTTTACTGCATTAGTCATGTCACATGAACACCATGCCAGTGAAGGCATGCCTACTGCAAAGCTACAGATAATAATGAGATTAGATTCAAATAATGTGCGGTAGCTATGATTCTAGTGAGGCTGCTGAAATGCAGCCATAATTCTTTGCAAGAAATTTATCAAATATTTCACCCAATATCTTTTAGAACTTATAGATACAAATCAGCCCTGACTGTCATTCCCCGGGTGTCACTGACCACCCACTGCATAAAAACCATGAAATCTATATTTTCATCCTCAATCCATTCAAGGTTATTGCTTTCCTGTTCCTTTGCAGCTGGTCTATTTATTTACATGTTGCTTACAAATTGTTCTTTTATCATTTTGTACAACTTGGTGCTTATGATTAGACACAATGTGTAGTGCTGTGCCTATAATCTAACTAATTTTTGCTAAAATGTACTTAATTGTATCTAATATAGTTCATTCTTATTTAAGTGGTTCTTCACTGTAGCTGACATTCACAACAATTGACATTCACATCAATTTGGAAGAGACTGACGACATTCCATAAATTGGGTGATCTGCTTACAGCATCTGGTTATAAAGAACTTGGGCAAATTTACTTCGTTTTAAAACGCATTAAATCGAACATAACTTCTTTCCAAAATATTTTCTGTGATTAAAAAAAGAGAAGATCAAAAATCTTCAAAATGTAACAGAGGCTCTGATCAATCCTTCCTTGGGTAATGGAAGCTATGTCAGAGTTTGTCAACATGACACCTCTGTTCAAAGAAGTGAGAAACCAATTAACTATAGACTAGTCAGTCTAACATTGACAATGGGTTAGCTTCTAGAGGTCACAATATGGAAAAAGAAATTCTCACCTACAAACATATGGATTAATTAAGGGCAGCCAAAATGGATTTGTAAAAGGCAAGTTGATTCTTGACGAATTTAGTAGAGTTGTTTGAGGAAATTAGGTGAGTGTTGTGTACAGAAGACGACTGAAAGTGTGCCATGTAGAGGCCTGTTGATGAAAGTTAAGGTACATAGCATTAAAGGGAGCGTGTCAGGATTGGTACGAAGTTCATAAGAAAACAGTAGTGATATTAACAGATGTTGTTCAGACTGGAAAACTGAAAATGCTAGTCTCTCCCTTGTACCTCTGTCGGGCCCATTTATATATTAAAGATCTTATATCTGTGTTAATTTCCTATCAACATTTTCATTATAAATTCCCACAACGAAAGTGATGTATATAAATGTCACATGTTGTAAGGATATCCTCTCCCGAGTGGATATGTTGCAATACTATCACTGTTGGAAGCATTCGGATATAGCAATGAAAAGATTACATAGGCAGTTTCCATTTCATGAGATATGGGAATTTATAATAGGAATATAAAAGGGCAAAACATATGATTTTAACGTGGAGACTGAATTACATCTTCAAACCAAGTTTTAATAATTCCTCACCCTGTCGCTCTGTGAAGAGGAGAAACAGTTTACACTATTCCATGACATAACACATTGAACATTTGTTATGCAGTGCCAGTTCATTAGACCACCTATACTTGAAGAAATTTGAAATTGATTAAATTGGCAATTTAATAACTTACTTGATCAAGTGTATTTTTCTCATGACAATCATTGGAAAGTCAACTTCAAAGTATTTTTTTGGAAGCAAGTTTTGATCCTGGAAAAATAAATTACTGTGTAATGGCAGATAAACAGGAAATTAAGAAAACTTTTTGAATAGCTTCACTTCAAGATGTTGCTGAAATCAGACAAACAACACACATATGCTTCTGGTTTTCTCCCACCGGTTTTACCTCTTATTTCAGGCTAATTTCAATAAACGGATCTCCTACAGTTTGAAACAACTTTAAATATGAAATAAGTTACACACTTACAGAATGAAAGTTATCCAGAAAAGCCCGTGTTTTCTACACTTCATATTCTCCTTTTTAAGAACATTTTAAACGTTAGGTTATTTTTACACTACCATTTAGGATCATTTCAAGTAGTCCAACATGACTGAACTAAAACATGCACTACTGAGTGCATTCTCAAGGGACAGAACCCCAGTACAAATGATCAATTTAAACTCAAGCTCTATATCAGTTACATGAAAGTTTGACCTTCATGGTTAATGATACAAAGATATGCTGCAGTGACCAATTGAAGCCAATTTTAAATTTACATGCAATTTAAAGTCAATCCATCCATTATTTCCATATCAAAACACTCCCATTTGCTGCATGGTGGAGCTCTGCCAGCAGGAGGCAATGGCATAGTGGCAGTGTCACTAGACTAGTAATCCAGAGGCCCACAGTAATGTTCTGAGGACATGGACGAAAACTGGTGACACTTTAATTAAAAGCTAACCATTGCCAATTGAAAAACCCGTCTGCTTTACCGATGTCCTTTAGGGAAGGAAATCTGCCGTCCTTAAATGGTCTGACTTACATGTTGTGGGTTTGGAGTGGAGAGTCAACAGCAATCTGATTGACTCTTAACTGACTTTCTAGGCCATTTCTAGGACAAACAGTTGAAGGGCAATTTGGGAAGGGCAACACATTTCTCAGGAAATCAAATTTTATAGGTAAAGGGCAAGAGTGGAATACAAGTAAAAGATAGACCATGAGTGTACTGAATGGCAAAACAGGCTCAAATGTCTCAAAATGGTCTATTGCTATTCCTATGCTTAATAGTTCCTTAATTCACTATTTTATTTCTTTGGTAACCGTCGTACATTGATCTCCCTCAAAAGTGGAAACAATCTGTGTTTACTCTAGAAAAACCTTCATAATTTTAAAGATTCAAGTTAGGTCACCCCAAGGCCTTGATTTTCAAAGATAAAGGAAAATGAGACCAGGTCTGTTTTTCATTTCCTGACAGGTAGAACTTCTCAGTTCTTATATGACCCTTAAATCTTTTTGGTACCTTTTCCAATACCTTTATACCCTTTTGTCAAACGTCGACCAGAATGCACAGTGCTTTCTAAGTGTAACCTAACTAAGGTTAAATACTAGTTTAGTATACCTCATTAGCTTTTCAAATCTACGCTTCTAATCATATGATCTTTTATTTTTCCTCAAGATTTATACCTCAATTACCTGTGTAAAAATTGACAAATTTCATGCTTATTCTGCAACATATGATATTGCCCATTACAGCTTTTTCATAAATCGAAAAATTCTGATTAAGATCATCCTTCCTCATTATAACCAATTTAGTAAACTTTTGAATGGAAATGTACTACTCAGAGTACATCATGGGCTGTTACTCGGACAACTATGAAGAATCTTATTTATAATATCCAAGAAGACAGGCACAATTGTGCAGGAACAATTTAACATGAGTCTATGAGTCATCTTCATCACAGAAACAGCTCAATACTACTTGCCAGGCAGTAAATCTCAATGATTCAAAGCCCATAAAGTGAAAGGATTTTCAATATATCTCAGCAAAAATATAAACCCTTCTTCTGTCTTCAGGCACAGAGATAAATGTTCACACTTACCAATGTGCAATACTCAACTGCACGTTTAAACACTGGTATTGTTAACTTGCAGTGACGTACAATTTAACGTATTCTATTTTGTCAAAATTTAAAGTATGCCTCAAAAATGTATTAATTTTCAAATTTTTCATGATTACTATAAAAAGTGAGTTTTACTTGAAGCACATGCGTGTGTTTGATCACACAGCAAGTTATTTTGGGATTTGAAAGCAGAGAAGTTGAAATCAGATTTCAAAAAATCTGAAATAAAAACATAAGCTAGAGACATTCACCAGGTCTGGTAGCATCTGCAGAAACAGAACCAGTGTTAACATTTCAGATTTGTGATCTTAACAGACAAAATGTCTGATGAAAGGTCACATACACTGCTTCTCTCTCCAGATGCTACCGGAGGTTCTGAGCATTTCTAGCATTAAAGCTATGCTATCAACACAGTCTTGCAATACTGCTATAAGATTCATTTCACCTCTTAGAGTAAAAGATAAACTATCTTCCAATGCTAAGCAAGCTAACCAGTGCAAAACCAATGTATTAGAAAATTGATAAGGTTCAATTATCTAAGGTGCAACATATCACAACGTCAACAAAAAGCAATTTCAGAAAGCCTCAAAGACTTGGTCCAACATTTTCAATCAGGCTCAGTCAAATTTCCAGCATAAGAACTAGCCCCATGCAAACAAGAAATTAACATAATGAGACTTTTTTTTTGTTATGAACAGAAAATGTAATTTCTTCTCAGGAAATATTAATTTATATGAACACTGCATAGGTACGCAGATGTTTCTAGTGTGAATTGATGCACTCTGGTGGAGAAACGATAGAAAATAAAGGGTCCTATTCAAAAAGGTGTGCAGGAGCAGAGAGACCTGGGTTTACTTGAACGTAAGTCATGAAAAAAAACACAGGACAGATCGAGCTGTTAATGAAGTACACAGTATTCTAGGCTTCATAAAAGGAGCATGGAGTACAAGACTAAGGAGGTTATGATAAACGTATACAAGACCTGGTTAGATCTCAGCTGGAGTATTGTGTAGAGTTCTGAACCACACTATAGGATGGATAGGAACACAACAGAGAAAGTGCCAAAGAGGTTTAAAGACAGGTCCAAGGATGAGCCACATCCATTGAGGATGAATTAAGGGATGTGATAGTATTATCATATTACTGCGCTGGATTATAAGTCAATTTTACCTTGAGTCTCCAGAAAGTTGTGTCCAGGCCAGCACCAAGGTTCATAACCTGGCAATTGCAGTTAGTTTTCTTTATGAAGGCATCCAGCAATATATTCACAGCTTTTACACGGGCATAATAACCTATGAGCAAAACAACACCATTAATAGCCCGTGTGCTCATCAGCTGGTAAAGGGGAAAATTAGAAACTAGCAGAGTCACTGTGGTCAAACAGTCGGTGATACTCACAATGTGGGCGTACACAGGAAGGCAAGCCATGAATAAAATATCAGAGATCTATCGTGCAATCATTGAATCAATCACAGGACAGGAGAAGGAGCCTTTTCAAGATTTGGTGAGGAGGGGTAGAAATTGATGCAATCAAAATACTCAAAAAAATAAAATTCAGGCATATATAACACAGCAGATGAAGCACATTTTTGTTTTCCAATGCATTAGCTGTAAATATAGTAAGTCAAAAAAAAAAATGCGCATTGTAAGTGGATTCCTTACATCTGGAGTTCTTAACCTCAAACGTCCTGAAGGAAAGGTTCAGCATTAAAACAAGGCACTATTCCTTAGAAAGTAAAAGGAAAAATGAGGGATTGAGCTAGTCACCACAGTTTTCAAAGTTATCCCATCCCCCAAATGTAGGAGCAATGCTTGTATTCAGCAGAAATTGTGAAAATATTTTAAGAACAACTTCAGTAAAACCTCCAAATACTTCAACAGCTCAGCACCTTTATCCACTCAGTAGCTAAGCTAGAGTTCAGGAAGATCTGATACTTAGTCTATCTGTTCTAAATTAGCTAATACCATACATATGCACAAATTGGTCCTGTATGTCTAATCTAGGAAGGGAAAATTAGCCAGGGTTTCTACTCTTGATCACTAAGCCAGCTGAAAAAATGTTGTTTTTAAAAACAAGGACATGACGTGTGCTGCCTTGTGATGCTTCACTCTGCTGACATCTTACTATTGAGACTCGTGAATGAATGATTGCTTCCAATATCCTTGGAGCTGAACTCACATGAGGAGCCAACATGTTCAGGAAATGAGCATAGACAATTCGAAACACACAACATGAAGCAAAAGAATGTAGTACGAAAGGATTCAGGCAAAATCAGCAACATATGGTAAAAACAACAATGTCCTATGTTTGTGATACATGCGTGAAACACATGTACTTTTGTGCCACTTCATGGCATAATAACGTAACAACTTTCAGTCTGGTTCAAAATATTACTCTAGAAAGTTGGTTAGAGAAAAGGTGCTCGGTCATTGTTTGACGAAGTCTGGCCAATAAATGAAGATCAGCTTCATATGCAGATCCTTTCACTTTGTCAAATGTCTGTTCAGAGTGCTCTCCCAGCACCAGCATTCCTTCTAATTTTTCTTCCAGTAGCTCGGGCCTGAGCATGGCACAGCATTAGTCATAGAGTTATAGAGTTGTACAGCACACAAACAGATCCCTTCAGTCCAACTCGTCCATGCTGACCAGATTTCCTAAATTAATCTACTCCCATTTGCCAGCATTTGACCCATATCCCTCTAAACCCTTCCTATTCATGTACCCATCCAGATGCCTTTTAAATGTTGTAAGTGTATCAGCCTCCACCACTTCCTCTAGCAGCTTGTTCCATACACACACCACACTCTGCATGAAAAAGTTGCCCCTTAGGTCCCTTTTAAATTTTTCCCCTCTCACCTTAAATCTATGCCATCTAGTTCTGGACTTTCCTACCCTGGAAAAAGACCTTGGCTATTCACTCTATCCATGCCCCTCATGATTTTATAAACCTCTGTAAGGTCACCCATCAGCCTCAGATGCTCCAGGGAAAGTAGTCCCAGTCTTTTCAGCCTCTCCCTATTGCTCAAACCCTCCAGTTCCGGCTACATCCTTATAAATTTTTCCTGAACCCTTTCAAGTTTCACAACATCCCTCCCATAGCAGGGAGACCAGAACTGAACCAGACCTCAATGCTGTGATCACCATGCAGACACCGATCACTGTGCACGCTCAGCAGCACAGTTTAGAGGGAATGTTGTCCATCATGTTTCTTGTCTTCAGCATCCCACTTATACTTGTACATAACGACAAATTAGGAGCAAAAGCTGCTCTACCATTTAATAAGATCTGGCTGATTTGTTCATGTTATAAATTCCACATTCCCAAGTAACCACTCTAAACTTAACAGCACCACATCTAAGAGAATAGATTGTAAGAGATTAGGCTTCCCCTGATGGTTCACAGTGCCTGCAAGCAGCAAGCCCTGAGTTATTAGAGCATAAATAACTTAGCTCTGTACTGGGCTGGGCCTGGGTTAGCTTATTTCAACTGAATGTTGCTACAGACTCTATCTTTGGCCTCAACATCTCTGGCAAGGAAGCAAAAAATAAAAATCAGCCTGCATTATTTGCTCCTCCTCAGTGTATTCCACTGATGCTGTTCGCAGCTAAACAGACAAATATTTGCTATCTGAGGTCTCAAGTAAAAACAGCCTCTTGGATAGTGAAAAAATTCCTTCCGGTGCCCATGCAAATGACTTCAGCTAGACAGCATCTACAGTCCTTTAAATGAGAGTGGGAAATATTAGAAAAAGGTAAGAGAAGATATAGAAAGGAAAGAGGAAAAAAGCTGCTACAAAGATGCAGGACTTACCTCTGTTGATTTCAGGAGCTTTCCTTTCGTTTGGTTGCTTTATAAAATACTGTATGTAAGGGTCCTTCCAATAGTTCATACTCACTGCAAACCTACCAAACAGAAGAGAGAACTAATGAAAAACAATGTTAATCTGACAGTAATTCAGCCTGTCCTGTTGATTCTGTTGTTGTAGTATTAACTGCACAATTAAGCAAACTGCTTTAGGTTCCAAGGTAATTAGAAAAACTGCACTTTTACAAAAAAAAAGTCTCTTTCTTTAAATTAAAAAGAAGTCTTCTCTGAATTGCATTCAGATGTACCTGTGTTCCTGGGTGTTAAAAGGTAAGTTACATTTTGGAGGGTCGGGCTTATTCACAATTATACTCAAAGGGATTGCTATGTTAAAGAATTCAAAACAGATGTCAATTTGCACTTCCTTACACTGTGAAGTGCTCAGCCATAATGATGGTGTAAGCTTAGTACACAGTTCAAAGGAGAAGTCTGAATCTATCTCAGGCAGAGGTACCACATGGAAGATCCAGCCTTCTCCTGGGTTTCCAGTGCTGGTCTTCAGACAATTTGATTCACTCCATGTGATACAAGAAAAAGCTGAGCACACTAGACTTGGCAAAGGTTATGGGCCTTGTCAACCTCCCAGCTACAGTGCTGAAAACATGTATCTCACAACTAGCTGCACCCCAGTTAAGTTGTTCCAGCAGAGCTACAATACTGGCTCCTGACAACATGGGAAAATTGTTCAGGTGTCCTAACCTCAAAAAGCAAGACAAAATGCAAACTGGTCAATTACTGCCCATCAGGCTACTGTAATTCACCAAAACAATGGAAGATGTCAACAACAGTGCTTTCAAGTATCAGTACTCATTCACCTAATGGTGGGGTCCTGGGGAGTGTTGCCAAACAGAGTTTGGAGTGCAGGTTCATAGTTCCTTGAAAGTGGAGTAACAGGTAGACAAGATAGTGAAGGCAGCATTTGGTATGCTTGCCTTTATTGGTCAGTGCTTTGACTATAGCAGTTGGGAGGTAATATTGCAGCTGCACAGGCCACTTGGTTAGGCCACTTTTGGAATACTGCATTCAATTCTGGTCTTCTTGCTGTAGGAAAGCTGTTAAATTTGAAAGGATGCAGAAAAGATTTACAAGGATGGTGCCAGGGCTGGACGGTTTGAGCAATAGGGAGAGGCTGAATGGGCTGGGGTTATTCTCCCTGGAGTATCGGAGGCTGCTAGGTGACCTTACAGAGGTTTATAAAATCATGAGGAGCACGGATAGGGTGAATAGCCAAGGTCTTTTTCCAGGGTACGGAAGTCCAGAACTAGAGGGCATAGGTTTAAGGCAAGAGGGGAAAGATTTAAAAGGGACCTAAGAGGCAACTTTTTCATGCAGAAGGTGGTGCGTGTATGGAACAAGCTGCTAGAGGAGGTAGTGAAGGTTGGTACAATTACAACATTTAAAAGGCATCTGGATGGGTACATGAATAGGAAAAGTTTAGAGAGATATGGGCCAAATCGGACTAGATCAATACAGAATATCTGGTCAGCCTGGATAAGTTGGACCGAAGGGTCTATTTCCGTGCTGTACATCTCTATGACCCTACATCCCCCTGACATTGTAAAGACTTTTCTTTTTATTTTTCTACATTTTTGGCTGTGATTTGAAGTGGGAAAAGGACTGTTTGACATCAAAGGACTGAGGAAGGAATTGCTATACTTCTTAAAAAGCAAACTACAAAACTCATTGCAAGTCATGTTTATACTGCTGCTTTATTGAAGTAGTGGGGAGGCTGTTGTCTATGGACCAGCACTGGGGGATGCGTACAAAGTGAAATTTGGTTGGCAACAATTTGCCGATCGGTTAGTGGAGTTGTGTCTCATTGCGGATGCCAGAGGCCTGACAACATTGACTTGATTTGCCTCAGTAACTGAACGGCTTTTGGGTGTAAATGCTACAGGCAGCAGCCTTCAGACTGCTACAAGGGTAGATGGTGTACCTTTCTCCCCAGTAAAATGCCTAAAACCTGAAGAAAACCAGGTTATGGCCCCTTACTAGTTACTGTAAATCATGGCTTTTAATCATAAACTAAAAAAAACTTTGCAGTTTGCGTGCCAGTCATGTTACACCTTCTGTGACAAAGCAAAATGAATCTAGAGACAAGAGATTGAAGAACTGGCAAACAAAAAAGATCACTTCAGCAAACCCGTGGACTGGGATTATTGAACTGCGTACCAGGTTTCTTCCCTCTGCCACTGCACTTTTTTTTGTCAGTGTAAGGAAGCGAGGTTTAGAGGTGGGTTATAATTTTAACTAGTTGAAATAAGTGTTGTCAGTTCATACTAGTTTACCTGTGATTGGAATCGATTTATTTGTAATAAATACTAGATCTTATTAAGCACAGAAACCTGGTCCATATTTTCCGTTAGTCTGGGTCTATCCGATAGGTAAGTTGGTGATTTTGTGTACATTGATAAAATTTTTAACTTTTCTGATGTCTCCAAGAATAGGACTCGACCAGTACTACCCCAGTGAGACATGACAATGTTCATTGGCATTAGAAGGGTTACCACTCATTAGAAACTGAATTTAACTAGCTTTATCAAAAAAGTAGCTCCAACAATAGGACAGAGGCTCGAATTCTGTGTCAAGTAATTCACTTCCTAACTTCCCACCTTCCAATAATGAATAAATCAGGATTGTGATAGAAAACCCCTCACTTGCTTGGACAAATGCTGCTCCAACAACACAAACATCAATATCATGCAGAACAAAAAGAAACTGTTTAATTGGCACACTATCCAGCCTTTTGCATAGTCACACTTCACTACTAGCACACAGCAACGTGCATCATCTACAAGACGCATGCCATCAAATTGCCAAGTCTCCTCCAACAGGATCTTCCAAACATGAGATCATTGGGAAAGACAAGAGCAGCAACTACATAAAAACATCACTAACTGCCAGATCCCCATATAGTCACAAGTCAACTTCAAACCACGTCACCATTCTATCAATCGGTCAAAATCCTGGAATGCAGTACCAACCAGTACTTTTAGATAAAACACACGCCCAAGGACTGCAGTAGTTATGGGCAATAGTTCACAACCAACCACACGAGATGAGGTGGAGGCAATAAATACCAGCAATGAGGTCACATCCCAGTAATGGATTAAATAAAGCTCACCATAAACACAATATAACCACATCCTGCACCGTGCAACATGTAACAAATTTTCACACACTATGGTTTGCAGATATACCCTGTACCAATACTTTAGTAGCTCAGCAACTCCTACCTTTTACAAACTGTTGCATCATCACATGTGGAACGGACTGCTTCATCGGCTGTGTCATCAGAGCCGGTGAAAGAATGGTTGGTAGCCATCAGAATCTCACACTGCAAGGATAGCAAATAATGCACCAGTGTGAATTGAGAAGATAACACCTACCTTGCACACATTCAATCACCTTTAAGCAAATAAAAAGTATTTAACTACAGTGTCAGCTAATTATTTAAACTGTGCTCTAACAGACAACATTTAACATTTATATATTTGTAATATTTGCCTGTTACTTATAGATTTCCAAACATAATGGTTGCATTTCCCTATAATTACCGAAAAGCCATTTGCTCTTTTAAATTAAATGTCGTTTAAGAATTATTTTAAAGATTGCTTTGTTGAAAAAAATACAAAGAAATTATTAAATTAGTTACATTAAAAGTTAGGTTGCTTATGTTAAACAGATTATAAGTGATACCAGATTAGGTTAATAAAATTTTGGAAGTGTTAGACGCTAACAGAACATAACACAATGTATCATGAAGTTAGAATGGTGCGACAAGCTTAAGATTCAATTAGAACCATGTGCCTGAGGCTGCTCGATGATCCTCAATAAAGTGCATTGAAGGCTGTCGGGTTTGCGGGTGCAGCACTGGCGAACCCAAACGCTGTCACCATCTGCTAATGTCTACATTCCTTCCCTCGGACTTTTGCAGATTGTAATATAAGAAAGTAACACCTACACTTCCTGCCTACGTAGCACGGTTACATCGACATTGCAACAACGCAGCTTCTGATTGGCCCCATCCGCGACAGATGGGACCATCTCATTGGTCGGTCTGGTCTGGGCCGCGTTGATCGGTGCAGGGTTCGTCCCAGGTGGGCAACGCTTCCGGGTTTCGATAGGGCAGTGTACAGTCCAGTAAACAGCGGAGAACAAGTGGTTTGAGTGGACGCAAATTTAGAATGCTATTGAAAATTGAAATTTGGTGCATAATTTTGCTCAAGGGATACAAGAGATTTGTCTACACCAGCATGCTTCAAAAACAGGACATCTTAGTCTTAAAAGGCTCAATGAAATCGCGAGCCTTTTATTCTTCACCTTGGCCACATCCAATATAAATTTCCCCATGATTCTGCAATCTTCCAGACCTCCTGTATGATCCTATAGATTATGTGGTAATCTTATTAAAATCTACTAGATTCTGAAGCAGTTTACAAGGTAGACACTGATAGAGCTTTCCGAACCATTTATTATCAGTAGCCTCTTATTGAACCTAAAAATTTGCCATTAACTTCAGGAATTTTTAAAAACATCTTTTCACTGGCTTTTTTTTTTGTCGTGGGAGCCTGGCTCCCATTTTGTTAGTTAAGCCAGGTCCATCATTTTAACAACATAAGAATTTAGGAACCTCACAACTGTTAAACCTCCCATTGGACCTTCATGGCAACCATTGCCTCAAGTCTTGTGTACCCAAGACCCATAGTTTGGTAAGCCCTGTTCCATGAGCTTCTTTCTCCTGACTGGAATCTAGAACTCAGAAACAAATCTCAAGCTAAAGGGTCCATCATTTGGGACTGGCAAGAAATGTATTTGCTCAATTGTTACAAATCTATCTATCTACCTAGAGTGTTGTGGATATACCCATCAATTAATTTATTTAAGGTTGACATAGATTGTTGATCACTCTAAAATACAAAGAATGTGGAAATAGGGCAGGAAAGTGGATTGGAAGCTGAAGATTAGCCATACATTTGAGATGCAACCACTATCCAAGATAGCACAATTAAATGAATCCACAATGAATACACTTATTATCAGATTGAAGCTTTGTGTGGCCAGAACAATTCACCCAGCCAATCAGTATCACTATCTTTAACCTCTCAGATTTCTGTGTCATGCATCACTTCATTTTGCTTTAGGCAATGTAATCACAAGGATATTTTGATTCAACGTCTGAAATATCTGTTAACAGTTACCAAAATACTTTGTTTTTTATCTTACCTTTGTTAAAAAGTTTAAGGGCCAAGGCCATACCTGTTTACTGTTTGGTAAGGACGTTACCTGTGTGCATATATCCACTGATTTTACCACTGGTCATAAGCTTCGGATTGAGAGAACATGGGTGTGAATTCATGCCCTGCCAATTTACACTTGCTTGCAGACATTTTTATAAAAGTGTCTCAGATCATAATCTTTTGTCTCAAAAATGTTTCTAACTTTCCAATCTTCAACGTTAAGCAACCATCCTCTGCTGCCATGTTAATTCAATGCCAAACCTGACAGTATTATGAGATTCTAGATGCCATTCCTTTTCCTCGTTAATAGGTTTATATACAGAATGCTGTGCTACAAATATCTAGCTCTTAACTACTAAAGCACCAGTATCCCAGGGGTCTCTGTTTATAGGTGCGGTAGATACATAAATAGGTTATTGAGATTATGGATATACTGGTGAAGGGCGTTGGTTAGTTAACATGCAATTGACATATGATAGAGGTATAAAGAGGGATAAGACTCTGCAGGCAGAATTTAGGGAACTAACGTGCGGGACCATAGAGGAAGTAAGCTCTGTAATACTCCTAGTGCTACATACAAGTGAGTATAGAAATAGGAAAATAGAGTAGATCCATGACTGATTCGATACATGATGCAGGACCGAAGGCTTTTGGTTCTTGGGACATTGGGATAAGTTCATGGGTGATGGGATTTGTCCAGACTGCGTTGATTGAATTTGAATGGAGCGATGACCATTGCCCTAATGGGGCAACTTATTAGTGCTATTGGGAAAGATATTAACTGGTGCGGGAATGGCAACTAGAGGGACAACACTAGAGAGGTAAAACAAGATGCACAAAGAATTGGGAGAGACAGATAATACCAGAGTACAAAACAATTTAGGAGGGGTCAGAGTCAGGGATAATGGAATAAGGTTTGAAGTAGATTTCCAGTGTTTTTGTTTGGATACATGAAACATAGTGGGTTTGGTGAGCTGCAGGCACACTGGTATACAGGACAATAATGTTGTGACAATAATTAAGTCCTGGTTCAAAAAAGGTTGGTTACCTTCGATGCAAGGTGTTGAGATAGGAAAAAAAGATAAGGGGATCCTGTATTGCCTGAGGATGCAATTACATTGCTGGAGAAAAAGGTTGTCCTTAAGAGGTCAAAGACAATTATTTGATTAGAGCTGAGAAACGATATTCCATACACTAGTGAGTGCATTTTGTAGTACTCCAAGTAGTGGGAAAGATAGAGTAGAACTAATTTGCAAGGAAGTTGCAGAGAAATGTAAAAACTATGAGGCATTCATAATGGGGAATTGAATTATCCTAATACAGACTGGAATAGTCCTAGTCTTTATGTAAGGGGTACAAAGAAGCATGATTTGTTAAAATCTGTGTAGGATAATTTCATGAGATAACAAGGTGTAGAGCTGGATGAACACAGCAGGCCAAGCAGCATCAGAGGAGCAGGAAAGCTGACGTTTCAGGCCTAGACCCTTCTTCAGAAATGGGGGAGGGGAAGGGGGTTCTGAAATAAATAGGGAGAGGGGGGAGGCGGATAGAAAATGGATAGAGGAGAAGATAGATGGAGAGGAGACAGACAGGTCAGAGGTGGGGATGGAGCCAGTAAAGGTGAGTGTAGGTGGGGAGATGGGGGTGGGGCCCCAGCTTGTCCCCACCTCCCTAACCTGTCCTTCCTCCCACCTAAGCCCTCCTCCCACCTCAAGCCCCACCCCCATCTCCTACCTACTCATCCCGCCCCCTTGACCTGTCTGTCCTCCCTTGACTGACCTATCCCCTCCCTAACTCTCCACCTACACTCACCTTTACTGGCTCCATCCCCGCCTCTTTGACCTGTCTGTCTCCTCTCCACCTATCTTCTCCTCTATCCATCTTCTATCCGTCTCCCCCTCTTTCCCTATTTATTTCAGAACCCCCTTCCCCTCCCCCATTTCTGAAGAAAGGTCTAGGCCCGAAACGTCAGCCTTCCTGCTCCTCTGATGCTGCTTGGCCTGCTGTGTTCATCCAGCTCTACACCTTGTTATCTCAGATTCTCCAGCATCTGCAGTTCCTACTATCTCTAGGATAATTTCATTGTTAGTATGTTTCCCCTGCAGTCTAATCATATATTTTGCATTGCTGGATCTGGCTCTAGGACATGAGGGATAAGTGGATCAAGTATCAGGGGAGGAAAGTTTAAGGGACAGTGATTTTGGAAACGAATGTTTAATTAATTGAGGAAGGCTAATTTTAATTGCAAACCGATATGGCCTAGATAGATGAGAATCAAAGATTGGTAGGCACATCTGTTATTGAACAATGAAAGAGGAGATAGTTCAAGTACAGTCAATGTATGTTCCTACAAGGGGAAAGGTTGGATAAACAAGCCAAAACTTGGTAGATGAAGAAATAGATAGAGAAAAGCGTGAAAGAGAAAAGGCGTGTATGACAGATCATCCTCTTCTTCTTTCAGTTCTCTGCCTAAAGGCAGGTTCTCAGTGATTATTCGTTCAACCATGACAAAGGCCTATCATTTTCTACTGGAAGCAGGTCATGTCTATTGACTGTACCTCAGCTGGAATGGAGATTGAATTCCATGCCACTGGTGTTAATCTGATCCATGCTCTAGCTGTCTAAGCAACTAAATAACCAGTTAACCAACCCCCTCTGGAATATGAGATAACACAGTGTGGGAACACAGCAGGCCAGGCAGCATCAGAGCAGTACGAAAGTTGACGTTTCGGGTCAGGACCCTTTCTGAAGAAGAGTCCCCACCCAAAACGTCAACTTTCCTACTCCTCTGATGCTGTCTGGCCTGCTGTGTTCCTCCAGCTCCATATTGTGTTATCTATGACTCCACCATTGGCAGTTCTTACTACCCCTCTGGAATATGTCAGGTTGATAACACAAGTGAGATCTAGGCTGTAGATAAGAAATACAGAAATAAAGACAGAAGAGATGAAAAGAGACTAGCATCCAGCATAAGAGATAATGTACAAGGAGTCCCCAATTTACAAACCTTCAACTGATGAACTCTCATATTTATGAGTGAGATCCCATGCACGGTTGTATTAATATTAACTTCAGAGATTCAACAAGCTAGCGTGTCCTTTTACTTACAAATCACGATTTTATATTGTCCTGTATTATATTCTGACTTGCATACAAATTGATTTACAAACATACTCAAAAACAGAACCCATTCACAAGCCGGGGACTGCCTGTAAAATCACATAGTAAAAGGCTGATAAAAGGAGTGGGTAGGGCCGATTAGGGACCAGAAAAGGAGATTTGTGCATTGAGGCAGATGGCATGGCTGAGGTAATAAATGAGTTCTTAGCACATCTCTTTATCAAGAAGGTACTGACTAGGTCATGGTGAGTGAGCAAGCAAAGAATACACAAGAAAGATTTGAAATTAATATAGAGGATATATGGATAGGCTGGTTATATTCATCAGGGTGGAATGAGATGAATCTGAAAGACTAAGAAAAAAAGTTGAAATTGCATATGTACTTGCCATAATCTTTCAATCCTCTTAAGATACAGGAATCCTGCCTGAGGACTGGAGAATTGCAAGTGTTTAAATCCTTATTTGAAAGAAGATATACTGTAAGGATAAGCTCAGCATCTACAGTTTAATCCAGCAAAATGTTGATGAGGGTAATGTGGTTAATATGGTGTACATGGATTTCTAAAGAGTATTGAATAAGTGCCACTTAACAAGCTTATCAGCAAAGCTGG